GGCAATTTCAGAATCCATCCTTCACAGAAAGGCAGCTTTTAGAGAAATCTCTTGAGGTCAAGTTTTTCACTCCTCGGTGCTGGCATTTTCACAGAGAAACAAATACTTCATTCAACCTATGACCACACAGCAATCTTCTTGCATGATATTATTCATTCTAAAACTCACCATTCTTCACAGTAGACTGTTGAACAAGACAGACAATTACTCTTAAACAGATTCAGTTAGGTAATTCCTCTATTTTCTTGAAATAAAGAAGGGGCATTTAACTTAATCTGGACTATGCTTGTTTTATCTCAACCTCTAGACAGTATTGTCAAAAGCATGATCAGGTGCTGCTACACAAATATTTCCCAATTATTTAAGGCAATCAATTTGGATTTGAACTTGCCTCTTCTTTGACTTCTGGCCTCTCACCCAAGGGAAGTTAATTCATTGTCCAAGGTAAACCTTTTCCAACGATTTGTAAGCGAAAAACTGAGAAGTTCAAAGCAACACTACAAGATGTAGACACTGATGTCTCTGCAAGATCTGAGTAGCATATAAAATGTTCTATGAACTGCAATTTCCAAGTAAACAGTCTGAAAGTTGTATACCAAAGATAAACTTTGGAATTTCTTCATGTGTTCGTACTCTTAAGAAAGAGACTTACGCATCATCTATTAAAGTCACGTAATCTCTTCTTTTCTTACCTTTCTCTGCTTAAAAAGCTCCATATGTAACTAAGAATCACTTAACAGTGAAGTCTTAAGTTCCAATCAGATCATTTTGTCTCTTATGCGAAGCACTGTACTGTAGGCAAGCATCAATTTGATTCAAATTCATTCCTAAATATTTACAGAAAAATACTGATTAACTCTAAACCCCCTGTCTTCTAAGATATTTTAACTCACAAATACAACTTCGGTTATCTATAAAACACAAAATAGAGCCACATGTTGGCAACATCACCATCTCCTCATAGAAGCATGCTCAGACTAGGGTGGCACAAGAGAATTCCAAAAACCTTTTGCAAGATCTTATCTGTTCTGGTGCAGACACAACAGGAAAAAGCAAGAAGAAAAAAAATGTTTCCTCTCCACAAAACCAAAGTATTTGGTTTTTATCCAGTTCTCCCAGACTATATTCAACAACCCTTTCCTAAAAAGGAAGTTTGAAAGCAATAAAATTGTATCTGCTTAAGATACTTCCCAGTATTTTCGCTGTTATCTTAATGATTCATTTTAGCTTCACTTTATTAATTTTGGCTTCACTTCCTCACTATAATACACTGTCTACAACACTGAGCACATTTGCTGATTGTTCTTTTTTCAGGTGGAACAGTGAGTGACAGGGGTACATCACATTCTTTTGTTTGTGTGTGCTAGACAAACAAAACCAAAGTTTCTTCAGGGTATGTGTGTGTATATATACACACAGAGACAGATGCATATAAGAAACAACAGACTTTATTGACAACCTTTGAACAGTGAGAAAACAAACCCTGGTTTGCCATTTCTGAAAAAAGAAATATTTTTATACTGTCATTTACCAGTTCGTCTACCAAAGATTTTGTTTTACAATAGCTTTCACCAGCATATTCTGTCCAGGTTGCAGACTGTATTGCTATCATGTTAATGGTCATCTATTTGCAAACCAGCAGGGAGCAAGAGTGGTTATAACCATTGCAATCACTTCTTCAATAACTTCCCTGAAAACTGAACAGCACATGCTGGTTGCAAGACGGTAAACTGCCAAACTCCCTCCTTGTTACCTGACAAGTGAAAAAGTAGAACCAGTGCTCTATATTCAACTCAAAATATTAAAGTGTATGCAATTTACTGTGCAACTGTGAAATATGTACATCCACTGAACAAAACCAGACCATTATATTTAAGGTAAAAAAATTACTTCTGAGGAAGAAAGTTATGTGGCTGGTCTCTCCAGAAATGACAGCTTTGAGCTGTTAACTTGAGTTTATGCCCATGGTCCCAACAAAGACATAATCAACAGACCACAGTAACAGGAAAAACCCCCAATTGATGATGTCCTGATGCTAGTCAATTGCCACCCAACATGAAGAATGCAATCCTGACTTTCCCCATTCATTGGGAAGCAGTCTTGCTGAAACAAAATTTGTTTATTGAGCTATTCCTCCTGGCTAGTTCCAACTATCACCTACAAAAATGTGACTTCTGGAATAACGGATAATATAGTAGAAAACCACCACCCAACAAACAGTCTGATCACCTGTCAAATCCTGCGCTTAATAACCCTCAGATATGACTCCCATATCATCTCTAGCAACAAAGACATTTTTCCAACAATAATTTTAAAATCCAAGAAAGATTTAAAGATTTTAGAAAGAAGTTACCCTTGAGAATACTTCTAGGCAATTTAGAAACTTGAATATTCATGTGCCAATTACAGAACTCTGCAATGAAGTTGCAGACCCTGAGGTTGTAATACTTCAGAAGAAACAGGAGCGGTCTTAAGAACTACATGCTAACAAACTTTACTTTGGTAACACTAGTTGAAGTGGCAAGTAAAAATAGTGCTATGAAACAGAAGTGATCACTAAAAAACAAAACAAACCATCAGTAACTTCCTGAAAATAGAGTAATGCATTCAGTACTCTTCAAACCTACTAATAAAACACTGGGTTAAGAGCCTATTACTGAAATGTTAGAAAAAGAGAATAGGTCAGCAGATGATTAGCTGGACTTCCTGAAAGACATCCACCTTCTTCACAAAACACTACTGACAGAAAAAGAAAATAATGCTTAACAACAAACGTTAGCTAAGCAAAATACAAAATGGCAATACACTGTGAATGACAGCCAGCATGTAAGTCATCTGCAAAACAGGTAAGCAATGATCAATGCAAAATATTTAGAATCACAGAGTAAAAGTCACAGAAGTTACAGTGAAACTTTACAAACACCATGAAGGAAGCATATCCATGCATTATTGATGTTCAGTATGCAGTTGTGGTGGAGGGGGGGAAAAGCCAACACTCAGATGGTTTACTCTGCTTCAGCTGCAGAAGAGGCCCTTTTCAGTCCAGTTTTGCCCCAAGCAAAGAAATGTGGGCTGGCTCAGCTGCCTCCTCTCACATGCTGCCTATTACTCATATGGTGAACATTTTTCAGCCATATAGCTCTATGTGGCAAAATCCTTCTGGAGTTGCATGGGCAGGGTGGCGAGAATATCCTAAAATTGAGGTCAAATCTGATTCCCACTTCTTTCTACCCGCAGTCTGAAAATACCCACATGATATGAAAAGCCTTTTTGATTAAAACAAGTAAGGAAACAATAATCAGGGGTCAATCAGCATTACAAAGAAAAAGAAAACATTTTACTGATAAAAAAAATAAATCTGTAAATGAATAGTCTAGTGATATGGTGAGAGCTGGGGCTGAATTCCTCACTAACTTTGAAAGAAACTCCACAAAGTAGCAGGAGCCTGAAGTCAAAGAGCAAAACTGCAACAGGCCCCAATCCTGAAGTGCAAAAAACCCAACTGTAACATGGCAACCCCGAGAACTGCCACAGCAGCTGACTCCAGAGGGAAGTTACAGCCGAAGAATTTTTTGGGCCTCCTAGCAACATTCTTCACTGTCATCAGACACCACAGTTGATGTTACTAAAAGTTGGTGACTGTCTGAACAAGTAGGGGCAAGAAGAAAGGGTGTGAAAATCCTTTTCCTGATTAGTCATGATCTGCCTGATAAACAATCATCAGGATGGAAAGAAACAGTGTGATGAGTACCCATAGAAAATACAGTTAATTTGACAACAGTAATAATACTATACATTGACTGCCTTTTAACAGGCATTTCTCTTAATAATTGTTAGTATTTTCCCATATCAGCATGAAATGGCACATATATATACAAAAGACAGTTATGCAATTCATAAATCGTGTGCTATTTCTACAGAGGATTTTTATTATACTCAATAGAATTATCAGTACTTGAGATGGAATTCTTATCCTTTTTATTGAAAAAAATAATACAGCATACTCTTCAAACTTTGTTTTCTCACCTATTTTATGATGCTAACTTTTGAATGAGATGGAGTTTAAGAGTTTTAAATTTAACTGGTGATCTACTTTTAAGAGTAATTTCATTTAAGATCAGAATATTAATTAGACCAGTTTCTGCCACTCATTTTTATAATAAAGTAATTACAACAACCACACTTGTTACCATGAAGTAAGTTTTTCTAATTCTCTCCATTCCACTCAGAATACTTGGAATTGTGCTGAAACAGTGTTGGTATAGACAATTTATGACACTTAATACATTAATATTATTGGCATAATTTAATTAAGACTTAAATCCCCTGCACTTTTGCTGCATATTGGTTTGGTGGTTTCTGAAGCTTTTATATTACAATTCTGACATATATAGCTATAACAATATAGATGTAGAGAAAAAAGTGAAATTATCTGGAAATACTCTTCTTGCAACACTTCTGAGAAAAATGTCTCCTAAAACACAATCAAAAAAATTTAGTCTTATCACACTTGAATCTTTATTTAAGATTTGTCTTTGACAAAAAAATTTAAGTCCTAGCTATATGTTTGAGTAAATGTAATGTTAATTGATTATGATGAGGTCAAAAACATTGGCATCTACATTGTCTTTAAACGTCATCCTGGACCAGGCCCTTCTGCTGCTTTATGAAAGCAGGAAAGTATTATTCTTAACTGATTGTGCCTGCCAAGTAAGAACTCGGCACACACATCAGTGGCTGGATATATGACAGTCTTCATTTCCACAGGGATCCAGGTCTAAATTCAATGAGTTTAAATCATATTTTTAAAAAAACAAAAATTTAGCAGTGAAGATTTTCCTCTTCTATTTTTGGTAATGAAATAGCATGAAAGATTTTCCTAAGTAGTATAAAAAAATGGTCTTGCTATATGAGCTGCTAACTTTATTTTTAGAGGCTCGGTATTTGAAATTAATGGCAGCCTTTGTTTATTTTTCATTTATCTGCTTTTAAATACTTACAGTGAAAAATACGGAAATCAATGTATGGATGAGAACCTCTTCTCTCTGTTTCAAATCCTGCCCGACTTCTTACTCGCACATCTCCTAGAAACAGGGTCAAGAGTGAAATAAAAGTGTGGAAGAGTGGCAGAGATAAAATGCAAATGAACATAGCCTGGAGGGGTAAAGATTCATGTACTTAATGGAGGAGGGTTATTCAAACAATAGGCCTACTTCAATGCTTTTTGTTTTAAAAGGTGAAATTCAAAACAAAGTTTGAAGACTTGTTAAACATGCAATCGCATGCTTTCTTGTCAAAAATCTCTCCTGCCTAAGCATACGTTGCCAGAAGCATGTGATAAGCATTCAGATGAAAGTAGGAACAGCTTGCTACACCAGTATGGTAAAAATGCACCTTAATATGACAGGAAACAAGAACATTAAAAGTAGATTTGTTCCTCGGTAACACACACAAAACGATAACATTTTGTATAATACAAAAAAGATTCAACTTCTAGAATGGTAGCTTTTAGCAAATAAGCTAGTTACAATATGGGTTTATATTACAGAATAGAATATTTTCCCACTAGCATTTACTTACTTGTGCTCAGCTGTTTGAATATTACACAAGAGCCTATTAAAATACCAAAACTCAGTATTAAAATTATATCAAACTATTTTGTACTGCAATTAGCTTCAACCTGAATCTTTCAGCATGCTAGTTGATTTCTACTTATGCGTATTACCAACTGAAAGCTGATCAGTATTCTTTCATTAGGCATTAATGCATACAAATACTAGTTCACCTGGATTAAAAGCTTTCACTTAAAATCCTTTAGCAGTTACAAATTTGGGCGAACCTTTGAGGATCAAATGCAATACTGTTTCCCTCCTCAAATCCTAATAAATAAAAAAAAAGTGAAAGCTAAGATGTGATAACGTTCTGGTTTCTCATTATGAAAATCCTTCAAATACAGTATTCTCCTCTTCTTAAATACAGCTATTTTCATATGATTAAAACTAAGTATTTAACTTGAGGAACTAAGACTGATTTTGTAAGAACAAAATTAAAATATAGTGATTTAATTTACAGAAACTGGTAACGGCTTGAGAGTGTTTTTTCCCTTTTCTGCTCCAACCTGCTAATTTGTAACACCGAAGCAGGCAACTTGTCAGAAAATAGCTAAAGATATTAACCAAACATTCAGTATTATACTTTTAACACTTAACAGGTATCTTTCCAGAGATACGTATCTATAAACACTGCCATATCTATAGTGACACTTCATGTGAATGTTATCTTGTGAGGCACACTGGAAGGACCACAAAAGATAAGTAGGCCCAGGGCTCCCCAAATGAGTCTGAGTTCACATATCAGTAAAAACATACCAAATACGAGGTTTTCAGTTACTACTCCTCTGTTTATTTGAAACTGAAAACCTTAACGGAACTGCTAGGGAAAGGAACCCAATTACTACCTGTAAATATTACTTCTCAGACCACTGACAGTATATTATTTATAAATGTTTCAAGCATTCCTCTGAGCAGAGTGCAAGAGGCTTGTCTTGTTCCAGGCAATACAGAGGCAGCAAATTGTAGAACTCTTCTGCTAGGCACAAGCAACTGATGAATTTTATTTACAAAGTAAATTAATAAAAAAGAAAAAGGGAGAATACTTTGGAAAAGAAGAGGCAAATGCATTAGTAGCTGTGTATGAAAATATCAGTCAGTATACATGGAGGAAAATGCAACTTTCATTACCTTTCACCAATATTTATCTGGGAAACCAGTCATAGCTACAGCTGTGTGAATGAGTTCACCAGCTGAATTAAAAGAAAAAAGAAGAGTTTTAGTTGAGCTAGTTTATAACAGAAAAGGTCGTTTAGTTTTCAAGGCAGTTTTAACATTCCAAATTTACTAACCATACTGTGAACTAGCAAATGTTTTCAGTCAGTACAAACTAGGCTTTGGTGAACAATTTTACTTGTTCAAAGTGTCAAGAACAGGAAAAGTTCACAGAAGAATAGCTGAAGAGTAACACGAAATTCTGCAAACAGCAAAACAAGCAGGTTCATCTGATAACCGATATCCAGAAAAATTCTCTCTGCTTTGTTCTTTTTTATTTACTACTAGTCTAACAACACAGACAGGATAACATAACCCTGTTCCCTTGAAATGCCTGCAGTGTTGCAGATCTTAAGTAGGAAAACAAGAAAAACCGTCTACAAGTGAAATGCAGAAGTCCAACTAACTACATTGCTTTTAACACAAGTAAGTAAAACATCTCTTTAGAGAACAGTTAGCTGAAAGAAATGATATACTAAAAACAAAGGTAAAATGGGGTATTTACTTGCTTACATATGAAATTAGAAATTCCCAGCAAGGAAAGCAAAATATTTTCATTAAGTATTTCTTAAACAGAATTCTCTCTCCTCAATAGTGGTAGAAGTGGAGGGTATTTTGTTAAGAATCAAGATCTAAAAAATGTATTAAAAAAAAAAATAATAATCATCCATTCTGGAAAAAGATACCACTTTCACAGGACTGGAATTTATCACAGTGAACAAAGTAAAAATTCCTTTTAGGCAAAATCGAAGGCATGAAAACTGTCTCCATTATCATTGTACAGAACTACTGCATTTTTCAAAATTTCAGACAATAAATGTGCTTGGAAAAAATTGGTACGAGTGGAATTTGAAGATACCATACATCCACCAGAAGTTTTTATATATATAAAAACATAAAAAGGAATAGCATCAAACTGGTTACATATTAGCACATTATGAAATTATGTGCTATTAGTACAGCGAAACTAATCTCTACTACACATGTATAGTAAGTCCAAAAACATCCAGAAATACTGGACCATCATTATACATTTACTGTTCAGTTAATCTGAACTGCAAAGATTAATAGATCCCAAATGCACGCACTTCGTTGTGCTTGTACACAACATATTTGCATTGATTTGCTTGGGAAATCCTGTACAGGCTTTTTGTTACCCTATGACTCTGAAATGACAGAGACATGTTTATCATCATGGGTGACTTTTAAAAAGGCCAAAGGTATTTCAGGTTTAAGGGGCACTGTTACACAGTTCCTTCAAACAGCAACAGAAGTCCTATCATTATTATAGTAGCTGAAATATAATTAAAATTCAACAGAATTCTAAAACAAAAGAACTTATGAATAGTTTTCATTTACCTAGGCCTTGAAATAAAAAAACATAATCAAAGTGTTAACAAAACCTTCTGAAATCATCAGATCGCACCATGTGCTTACAGGTAAACTTCTCTGGGCAGGGGGGCAGAAGTGGTAGCAAGCTGACCATTTTAATCTCAAGTATCTCTTCTTTAGCCACTTTAGCCAGTTTTGAAGAGACTCCTGTGTTTCCTTAGGGGAACACATTCAAGTCCAGCATTATAATGAAAGCAGACTTCCAGGAACACTTTCTTCCCCCTCTGTAAGAGTTTCAAAGAATCAAGAGAAAGATTTAAAAACCATGAAACCTTCCTTTCAAAAATCTGATTTTGTGCACAACATGACAAAATACCTGTTTGGCTGAGTACTTCACTAGGTTTCTTTTTTTCCAGAATAGTTATAGGTGACCAGGACTGCTTGCATTTTTAAGACAAAGGCCATACAGGCAGAAACTCAATTGAAAACTGAATAAATACTGGAAGAAGGAATGCAAGAGCGAGGTTTGCAGCTACGACTGAAAACTGAAAAGGAATCACAGCTGTAACAAAACTTACCTTGAGACAGATTGTTTGGTTCCTACCCCTTTCTGAAAATTCCTGCTCACACCGCAAGGACAGCTCTGATACTTACGAGGCAGCTGAAATGCCATAGCTGACATCCCTGTGTGTTAGGGTTACATGGCACATACTTCATGCTACCCTAATACTCCAGCGTGGCACAGTAACAATGCAGCAGCTGCTTGTGGAGCTGAGGCCTTCAAGAGCAGGGGCAGAGATCTCCGAGATCACAGAAGACAGCTGGGAGCAGAAATTACTTCAAGGTAAACCACCCCAAGTCAAAGCCATGAAGTTGTGAAGAGCAGGATTTCCAGAAAGAATTACTAGCTTCAGAGATTAAAGCTCCTATTAAATTTGTTGGAGAAACAGATGACAGGTCAGCTGAGTATGCTGGAACTGAAGCAAAAGGAATACAACGTAACAACCACTATGGGAGACCAGCATGCACCTGCATGACACAGTAGCTTGCCTCCTCTGTTTCCCATCTGAAGTGACCAAGACCTCTAAAGGAAAGTAAAATGCTCCAGTTTTAGTTCAGAGGTACAACGTTCACCAATACAAGTAGTCAGTGTCCCATTCTTTCTACCCCATAAACAGCAGCAAAATTTTCAGGCAATATATAACAACAAGAAAAAGAAACCAGAAAGGGAAAGAAGAGAAAAATCAAGAAAGTATCAAGATTACACAGAAGCACTTACAAGAAATTTTGAGAATTCCTCCTAGTTGCTGAGAGAAGTAGCCATCTGAGGTGATGCAGATATATTAGCCCTTCCAAAGTCTTAAGAGAAAAATTCTACAATGCTGCATCTGTATCTATACTTTAAAATAGTAAATAAGCCACCCAGGAATGGCTTAGTGTATATTTTGGGAATGGGGTATGACAGATGAGTCATTAGTCACTGCTGTTTGTTTATGTCGACACTGATGAAGACAGCTATGAGTTAGTTGTTTATTTGTGTGCCCCTAAATTTTGATTTTTTAAATTGAACCTGGAAACACCGCCGTATCACAGTAATTTCTCTTTACTTGGAGCAAATAAATGAGTTTTCATTGGATTCCCACTGGAACAGCTGAAAATGCTAAAGGAAGCAACCTTACGCCAGCACAACTAGACAGAGGCAGAGGGAGGTGTCCTAGATACCCTTAGCTTTATACTTTTGGTGTGCTAAAATAAACACCTTATGGAGGTATATTTTGTTATTAAATATAGTCTGTTTGGAATAACAACCAAGTAATCAGCAAAAGCTCTCAGTTACAGCTGAGGATTCCTTACAGCTCAATCCACTAAAGTGTACAAAGGTAAACAAAAAACAAAACCAAATCCTTCACAGTACTGTATGGGAAATGCAGTACTTCACATTTCTTCCAAAGAATTCTAATTTAATATATTCATATTCTTGAATCTACTCCAATATGAATGTATCTACATTTCGATGCATCCAACTGTTCAGCTTTCAGGCTGGTCTTTTTTACAGTCCATTTACAAATACAACAGTAATAAATCTGTAAATATCTGCTAACTTGTACAGAATAGTGTAGGTAACATTTGGGAAAACAAATTGATCACCAACAAGTGAGAAAGTAATACAACTCATACTGATTTAAACATCCAATAAGCAATTTTTTGTTTGCTTGTTGGTACCCTCCTCCCCCAGCCAAAGTTATAAGAGGTCAATCCTTTAAAATGCCTTACCCCCTCTGAATAGCTAGCATCACTGAACAGCGACGGATGCCAGCAAGAGTTATGCTATTCATAACAAGCACCAATCACATAGTCCAAGAATTAATTCCAATGAGAAAACAAGTGAAAATTTAATTTACTTAACATCACATTCTGAATATATTCTAGTTCTACCTATAAGAATAATCAGAGAAAGATTTCAAAAGAAATTATTTTTCTCTCAGTTCAGGTGCATATATCAAGTACCACATGAAGTCATGCTTTGCTTTCTTCTAGATTTGAACATTATCATAAACCCCTCTGCAGGAATAATGAGCCTAACTACTTCATGGTACAGTTAAATGTCTAAAATAGCAAAAGAAATCAGATTATTCTCCCCAGAAATTAAGAAGTATTTTCCTACAAGCTGCATTTCTATATTTAGCAGATTAATTTTATAAAGATAAAAACACAGACATGTACTTACAGTACCTTTAATTCAAGCATATCAGTTAATTTAAAAAATAAATATGTTTTTCCCCTGCTGTGGAATTAACAGTACTCAATTTGTAGGATTTTGAAGCAGAAACACAGCATAAAATAAACTTAGTTTAAAAGCAAGTATCACAAAAATCAAGGAAACAAAACTACCTCAGGCCTGAATTTATGTTCTTGATTTTATGACTGGAGCAGAAAAAAAAAAAAAAAATCACATTTTGAGAAATTCTAGGAGTCATCCTGCTAAAAGGATGATTAAAAATGAAAACATTATTTTAAATTTTGAAAATTAAACAGCAGCTTTTCCAACAAACATTTAGAAGCCAGCATTTTCTGTCCTCCTCCTCATAACCAATCTCCAAAGTAATTACATTCCCTTATCAAAAATCCTTCAGTAGACAAGTCAGTGCTACAGTATTAACAAATTCGCAAGCTTAAAAAAACCCAAAACAAATAATTGAAAAACAAAAATGTGAATATATTAAGTCAAAATTGGACTTATATACACATATGCATGTGTATACCTACGTACATAGGTTATGACTAAATTCATATACATAAACACAAATGTGTACACATGCATATAGCTTACAACTTCAAATTCACAGAGAATGCAGCTAGGAATTTCCGGGGGCTTTAACACATACAATATACAACTAAACTGAAAAGACTCAGGGCAACTAAATCTGGCTGATTTAGTTGGAGCTAGTTAAGAATTTATAATCACTAGCTGTTGATGTTCATTGAGCTGCGCGAGACATCATGCAAGCATTCATAGTCCATTTCAACACAAAATCATAGCTCAAGATGGCTTAAATTAAGTGGCATAATTTTGCAATGAAACAGACTTAGAGTACATGCACAGTCCCCATGCCATCTGCACCACCAGCAGCCTCTAGAAGAGGTGGTGGAAGTACTGAATCCGGCAGCCAGATCTGCAAGAGCTTTGCATTTTTCTCCTCCCAATCACTAACCTCATGCACCCGCTATCACAGAGGGTCTCCCCTGGATGCTTCCCCTCCTAATTCTGTTCTCTCATTTTAATTTGGCTTTATCCTTTATCTAGTTGCCACTCTGGAAACATTCTTCAGTAAAATGATTAACTACTGGCCCTGTCATGTGTTTTCCCTTCTCAAGTCATCTTCTAGGATTAATAAAAGAAATATTGTTTAAAATCATATAATTATTTTCAGAACACCTTAAGTATTTCATAGCCTCAATGCTGAACTTTTAAAAGTGTGTGGTAAATCTCACACAAATGTTCTCTAAGCCACAGCTTTACCCACAAAGTAAGTTATCACGCAGAGCTGACAAATTCCATCACAGAAATAAAGTTCAGTCATGAGTCATTTGGAAAACTTAAATTTTACCAAACATGTTCAATTAATTGTAAGAGTTTTGTTTTTTTTAATATAGAAGTAAAACATCCAACACAATGGTTAACTCAATAAAAAAGGCAAAGGCAAACAACCAAAAAATCCCAGTCAATACAAAAGAACCCAAACTCTTCTAAAGAATCTAACCAGAATATTACTGAGAAAGGGAATGACAAGTTTAAAAATTTAAATATAAAAAAAATACTTTTAATCAATCATAAACATTAGAACTTTGCTATATAGAAAGTGGCATGCTTACCTAGCATACGAATGTACAACGCAGTCTGATCAGAGCTGTCATAGGAAATAGCTCCACGTCTCTGGAACAAAAAAAAGAAGTGTATTTTATGCATGTTAGAACCGAGCCTTTTTTAAATTGAATTGAAAATAAAGTCTCAACCGTCTATTTCCAATTTAAATGTAAAACTTAAGTTTTGAAATTTGAACATGCATCTTTCAATTATGTAAATACTGATTTTGGTTTAGGATGGGACAAAGGAAGGACAGGAATTGGTAGACAGGATCAGATTTCCCCTCCCCCCTC